ATCATGACCTGAGCCAAAGACAGCTGCTCAATCAACCAAGCCACCCAGGCATCTCACTTTAACCATTTTAAAATGTACAATCCAATGGCATTAAGTACATTCGCATTGTAGTGTAACCATCACTATTATCCATCTCCAAAACTTTTCATCATCCCAAGCTAAAACTCTATACCCATTAAACAAAAACTGCCTCTTACTCTCTTCCCCCAGCCCCTGAGATCCATTATTCTATTTGCTGTCTCCATGAATCTAAGTCTTTTTAGGTACTTCATATACGTACAATCATACAATATTTTTCTTCTGCATCTGGTTTATTTCACTTAGCATAATGTTGTCAAGGTTTATCCACGTTGGGGTAAACTGGGTTTTAAAGAAGGATTTATTTTGGCACACAACGTGCACTATTCAAAACTGACTTCAGGCAGCTGCTGGTTTTAGGACTATGAAAAGTTGTTCCTGCCTGAGAGATTACAAATTTCCTGCTGCAAACTTCCAAATGTAAAGAGTGGCCCAGGGAAAAGCAAATGGAAATGTCATGTACTGTCATATGTTATGTTGTTCTGAATTAATTTCAAAACTGAAAAATGAAATACTGACTCATTTCTCCCAAAAACATTTTTCTATGTTCTTTACACCTCTCAAAAACCTAACTCCTGAGATGGTTGATTTCCCCAGAGACTGCCTAAGGAATTTGAAGAATCTTCTCCTCTCTTACAGAAGAATTTGTTCATGCTCAGAATAGAGAAAAGGTTAGGAAGAAAGCCAGAAAAAGCAGAAAACATATAAGCTGTTTCTTCTAACTTGACTGAAGAGTCACAGTTGGAGCAATAATGACCCAGCGCATCTCTCCTTTCTGGAAGGATTAGCTGGTTGGCACCATAGGGTCTTTTTACCCTGCAGAGGAAGCTCCCCTTCATTTACATGGACGGCCCTCAGGATATTGCCACAGAGCAGAAGTCCTCTGAGCACCTAAAGATAGGAAGGGTAAGAAGGAGAGGTAAGAAGAGCCACAGGATGAAGATTTAAGCACAAAACAGAGGAGTAAAAGGGAATAGGAGCTGGTTTCCTAATTGGACCTAAATATTCAGAATATTTTAAATGTTTGCTTAAGGCTAGGCTGGGGGTGGACAAAATAGACAATAGCCACTCGACTAGTTTACAAACCAAATTAAAAAATACAATAGCTCTGAAGAACAAATGAAAAAAATAAGAAGATGAGTTGCATAGTTTTTAAAGAACAATGCTTACACCTAGAAAGCATCTTTTGTTCTTCAAACTCAGAGTGCATGGGTTTACTTTCTTACCAATGCATTGATATTTATGGTACTTATGGATATTCCAGGTACTGAAATACGATTGATTTAGGAATTTTGTTTGTCTTGCAAGTGTCCAAGTAAGCACATGGGCACCCATGCATGCGTGTGCGCTCACACACAGATACACAGAAACACACTTTCTCTATATATATGTATATAAATATGAAAAATATAAACAAGCAGCCTTAGACTCTATATTTGTTAGCTGAGAAAGGTTTGTGTGTTTTTTAGAGATTTTATTTATTTATTTGACAGAAAGAGATCACAAGTAGGCAGAGAGAGAGAGAGAAAGAGGAAGAAGCAGGCTCCCCACCGAGCATAGAGCCTGATGTGGGACTCGATCCCAGGACACTGAGATCATGACCCAAGCTGAAGGCAGAGGCTTAACCCACTGAGCCACCCAGGCGCCCATCTGAGAAAGGTTTTAATCTACCCTTAGGTGAAACTTAAAAACAAAGACTCAAGAGAATGCCACTAAAGCACCAACCACACAAATGCAAACAAAGAATTTCAACCAAATGTTAGCCTATTATTCTGTACCACAAAGACCTTGTACTACTTACATAATGGCCTGAATGCCCAGATTTCTCCACTATTTTACCTAATTTTGTACACAGTCCTTAGTGGAGTAGAAGACAAAGGACACTAAGAAGTTGCTAACAAAAGGACTTCCTTCTTGGTCTCCTACAGCCACTAGGATGAAAAAGTAACAAGTTTTTCCCAAGTGATGAAAACAGTTTAAAGAGAGGGGAAAAGTAGACTGCAGGTTTAAACCTGGTCATGACCTTGGTTTTGAACCTTGTTTACAAATTCCATCAGGCCTCCTAGTGATTTGTGAGCCCCTGGCATTTCTGGTAGGTGTTAGGGTACTGGATGGAGGGTTGGCTCCAGTCTTAGAAAACCAGCACATTTCCATTTTTATTTCATAGCAGTTAATATACAATTGCTGTATGTTTTACACACATGCACCTTTTTTTCATTTCAAAATGAAATGGTTTGATACCTTTCAAGCACAGACAGAGCATCAGGGGCAGTGGGTGGTGGCCATTCAGTGGCATTCACCAAGTCGGTTTCCTAGTTGGCTTATCTCATAATTGACCATTGCTAACAATCAGGATGGTTTTTAACCATTTGACAGTTTTCTATTACTTTTATTCTTCTTCATATTATTAACTCACACGTTTTATATCTGTTGCTTTGAAGACAAGGGGAAGAAATGGATTTTAAAATACAAGCTAATGAGGAGCTTTAATTCTAAAAATTCCCCTCAAGATACCATTTGCCAGGTTCTTAAGTCATAATTGTCTGATCAGAATTCTTGTAGCACATATCAAGATGTCTCTAATACATGAAAAATAATTTAAAAGTAAATATGGTGGCCACTGTATCCAAACTGACTTTTTAAAAATTGTCAATAATGGGGACGCCTGGGTGGCTCAGTTGGTTGGACGACTGCCTTCGGCTCAGGTCATGATCCTGGAGTCCCGGGATCGAGTCCCGCATCGGGCTCCCAGCTCCATGGGGAGTCTGCTTCTCTCTCTGACCTTCTTCTCGCTCATGCTCTCTCTCAAATAAATAAATAAAATCTTTAAAAAAAAATTGTCAATAATGTCTTAACTTTTATTTACATTTGTGCAAAATTCTAAAAATAAGCCAGAGGGTTATTTTAAATGCAAACCAAATATGAGGTCATGAAAACAGTTTTTTATCTTTTTTTTTGATCAGAAAAGATACAATGATATTTCAATGTTCATTTTTTCTCTTTTTTAAAAGATTTTATTTATTTGAGAGAGAGCAAGAGAGCACTCATCATGAGTTGTGGGGAAAGGCAGAGGAAGGGGGAGGAAATAGGCCCCCTGCTGAGCAGGAAGCCCAAAGTGGGGCTCAATTCCAGGACCCTGGGATCATGACCTGAGTCAAAGGCAGGCGTTTAACCGACTGAGCCACCCAGGTGCCCCACAATTTTCTTTTTATTATGAATTCTATCCTCAAACCAGGCACAAGTAAAAATTACTCTTAAACTTGTTTACCAAGAAATCTGCTTTCTCCTCCACAAGTAATTTAAAGTGAATTATAGGGGCGCCTGGGTGGCTCAGTCATTAAGCGATCCCAGGGTCCTGGGATCGAACCCCGTGTCGGGCTCCCTGCTCTGTGGAAAGCCTGCTTCTCCCTCTCCCACTCCTCCTGCTTGTGTTCCCCCTATCGCTATCTCTGTCTCTGTCAAATAAATAAATAAAATCTTTTAAAAAATAATAAACTGAATTATATAGCCTGTGTCTGTAACCCAAAGGAAAAAAATGAAAAGTTATCATATGCAATAAATGCATATGAATAATATTAAAGACCAGATTTAAAATGAACTTGATAATAAATTTTTAATACCATGATCATCTCTAATAAAATGTTTTATTTAACTATCCTTCTTTATCATGCCACATAAGAAAATGTCAGGATGATTAAGGGAATTTGCGAAATTATGCGTTATAAGTGCAAAGTATTTGGAGTCAAAGGATAGGAGCATGAGGATAATCACTGTAATCCATCACCTGGACCATTTTTATCTCTCAAAAGACTTATATGAATAAAAATGTGTATTATTAGCAAAATAAGTCTTACCCCTCACTGTCCCTCAGGAATTACCCTCCAGTTTGACTACACAGGAAATAGATTGTCTATTTCACCCTATTTCATCTATTTTGTGAGGCACACTCTTGGCTAAATCAGGATGTACCTTATAATCAGGAGAGTCTTACCAAGGCCACCAGCCAGGCTGCAACTGGGACCACAGCTACCATTGCCACGTGTGAACATCAAATGCCAGCATCAAAAGTTGCAGAATGGGCGTCAGTGACTTGGAAGAAAGTCTTGCAGAAAGGAGAGCTTTCTTTGTTTTTTTTCCTTCTTTTTTAACTAGGAACCAAACTGTTGTGGAGAGGGAGTGCGCGAGGCATGTTTAGTAACATTCTATAAGCAGGAATCAAAAGTAGGTTAGCTCTGTGTAATGGCAAGGTCAGCCTAGGAGCCCAGCACCGAGGACTCTTAGTTTTCTTATGGATTATTTTAAGAAATGCTTCATCATCAAACTCCTGATATAGAGGATGATCCCATGGATAAACATAGACATCAAAGAGTCTGAGTCAAATGCTGAATGTGAAAAACTTATAGGAGAACCCACACCAATTTATTTCACTTAAATGTTCCATTTGCGGCATGTGCAAGTATGATATGTGATAAAATCATCTGTCTAATTAAATTCATAATAGCCCTTTCACTAGCTGTAAAAGGAACGTTCTGATTATGTCATGGTTTCACTTGCAGTTTTCCTTCTTAGTCCTTACTTACACTAACAGAGCCTCTTACAATGAGAACATCTTAGATTGCATGCAAGACAGCATTCAATTTGGAAACTCAGTACTTCTAATAAAAAGGATAATGAATTTGAATGAGCTGAAAGGTTTGCTATCTTTACTGGGTTCCTAAATGCTGGTTGCGTATCATTTTAACTAAGAGCTGCTGGCTGTTCTTACTTTTCTTTTTCTTTTTTTTTTCCCCCAAGACTTTTAATAGCATGTGGCCCCTTTTAACTCCCCCCAAATATTTGCTGGGTGGAGAAATACTAGTAGTTCAGTTTCGCATGTATGGTTTCCTTGAACTTGCCTGGCTGACTCTTATTTCCTTTGTTAGGGGTGCAGGCTGCATCTTTATTGAAATGTTCCAGGGTGAACCTTTGTTTCCTGGGGTTTCCAGCATCCTCGAACAGCTGGAGAAGATCTGGGAGGTAAGAGAAGAATTTTCTCTGAGGAAGATGAAATACCTACAATTCAAACTTTGAGCCAACTTTGCTTTAGAGACCATGAACTAGTCCATCTGCTTTGAGATTTTACGCCGTGTATTAAGGCCGTGGAAACTGTGGGATTTGCCGCAGGTGTAAACGCCTTGGCAATGGAGACGCAGTCAGGAAACTGAGCTTGTCTTACAGCAGCCCCTGAATGCACCTGCTCCCTGTTGTGATTTTCTCAGCCTCCCAGGGCAATTTCGGCCACTACTGCTCAGGCACATCCCCGCCTCGCCACCCTCAGCTCTGACTCTATCGGATATTTGGCCCTGGGTCCTTGTCAACTGAAGACAAGACACGAAATTTCTGCAAAACTCTGATAAAGGCTTAACCATGTTAGTGTGAGAGAAGTATTAATCATGCTCTTCCAAAAGCACGTTCCTAAGGTGTGAAGGTGCTTCTCTGTGTGGTTCCATTTCTTGACTCACTATCCCTACCTCATTTGGAGATTTTATTTATTTATTTATTTGACAGAGAGAGAGAGAGAGAGAGAGAGAACAAACAGGAGGGGCAGCAGGCAGAAGGAGAAGCAGGATCCCTGCTGAGCTGGGAGCCTGATGCGGGACTCGATCTCGGGACCTTGGGATCATGACCTGAGCCGAAGGCAGAGGCTTTAATCCACTGAGCCCCCCAGGCGCCCCTATCCCTACCTCTTTTGTACCATGATGTACTTCATTCTTCCTCTCTTGTAGTTTATATGCCACATACTACAGTCACTGTATATTTTTTTTGTTATTTTTTTCATTGTGGTAAAATATACATAAAATTTACCTTCTAATAACCAATTTTAAGACTATGATTCATTAAGTACCTTTACCTTGTTGTGCATCCATCACCACCAACCAGTTCCAAAACATTTTCATGACCTAAAGCAGAAGTTCTATACCCATGAAACACTGACTCCCCATCTTCCTTCCTTCCAGACCCTAGATAAGCTCTCATCAATTTTCTGTCTCTATGAATTTGCCTATTCCGAGTATCTCATATTAGTGGAATCCTATAGGATTTGTCTTCTGTGTCTGGCTTATTTCACTTATATTTTAAAGGTTCATCCATGCTGTAGTGTATGTCAAAGTGTTTTAAACGAACCGTTGTTATCCTGGATCCTGCTCCCTTTCAAGTTTGCTTGCTTCAAGTGGGCATTTGGAATGTTCTCGCTAAGAGCTTCTGATAAGGGGTTTCTTGGGAGATATGGCCAGAGTGGGGTTTTTGTGCATAGGTGAGGAAATTCGGCTTCTCTGGAACTGCTTTGCAGTTGTGATGCAGAGGGGCACCTTGGTGGCTCAGTCATTAAGCATCTGCCTTCAGCTCAAGTCATGATCCCAGGGTCCTGGGATTGAGCCCCAGTGTTGGGCTCCCCGCTCTGTGGAAAGCCTGCTTCTCCCTCTCCCACTCACCCTGCTTGTATTCCCTCTCTCGCTGTGTCTCTCTCTGTCAAATAAATAAATAAAATCTTTAAAAAAAATTTTTTTTTGAGGTGGAGACACAGTTTTGTTAACACAACCATAGTTCCAAGCTCTAAGGACAAAGTGAGAGCCAGTCACATTCAACAGTGTGTTATCTTTTACACTACTACAGTTCGAGCAGGGTAGAAACTTCAACATTACAGACAAATCCTGAATTACTGTTTCATTAAACATGGACTACACAGATGAAAATAGGAAAGCTATTTTGGATTCCATGAAATTTGATGTAGGAATCGCCTTTTGGAAAGCAATGGGTCCATTCTACTCTCCCAGCTTTTAACCACAGCCGTTCTTTACACACCTCCCGAGAGCTCACTCTTAGAAACGAAGACGTAATGACAAACCCTGAATCTTTATTTTACCATCTTTCTAAAATGCCTCTGTGTGTGTGTGTGTGTGTGTGTGTGTGTGTGTGTTTTCATCTGAATAACTCTCACCTCTTCCTGATCAAGTTTTTAGAAATCTGATCCTTGTAATAAGTGTTTTTAGCAAATAATCCCAGATGCGGTTCTAAAACCAGAATAAAATAAACTATGCAGACTTTAAATTCATTAATCAAAACGCCTTCGGTTTCCATTCCAACAAAGGCGGAAAACAGTCCTGTGCAACCCACTATGATTTCAAACACGGCACTCACTCACTGCCTTTTAAAAGCCTTCAGAGAGGGAGTAGATCAACAATTTCTGGTTTTCAGTTTCCCGGACAGTGAATTGGAGATTTGGTAATTTTCTCAAGTGAAAACGAATTCAATAGCTTTCAAATAGAAATTGAGCATCAAATTTCCAAATAAAGGATATTGGATTTTTATTTAAATGTGGAAAATCTCCAGCTGAAAGTTTTCAGTATAATATTTTAAAATGTTTGGTACCCATTTTGTTGGCTTTAATTAAACATAATACAAAGTAACCAATAATTCTAGGAACTATCACGTTACAGAAAATATGGATGTGGTCGCTATTTATTTCCTTTGTTGCTTTTTCTTCATTACCTTTGCTTTCTTTTCATTGTGCTTCGCCAACCCGCAGGAGACATATGGGTGCATGTGAATCACTTATTTCCGTGCACATCTGTGCAAATACAGAAGATGGTGGGTTCAAAAAGGAGAATCAGCTTCCCATCCTCTGGCCCTCTCCTACAAAAGAAGAATTAATCCAGTTGGTTTTTCCAAATGGATTCCAGGATTCTTAGTGTTCCCTCAGGCTCAGTGTGGTTGATAGGAAAAGCCTATAATCCTCTCAGTAGGTTTTCAGTTTGTTTAGGGAATGGATCAAAGAAAGATTTTCCTGGGTGGCATGATTTTTTTATTGTATGAGAGAAAAATAACACTTCAGTGTCTTTTGTTTGAGGACGATCTTAGTAGGCACCACCAAATGTACCTCTCAATCAGTCCTAGTCAGTAAGCTGGTAGACATTAAGATTCTGGATTCGTCATTGATTATTATTAGTCATGGTTGGGCAATTGACTTCCTGCCATAACAACTGGGCTGGCATCTATACCCAGCATTTTGCAATTGAATTTATTAGATTTTTTTTTCTATGAGAGATGCTTCTAGAAAGAGTTATGTTGAGATAGGCTTCTAAGAAGAGTTACTTTATATAATGGTATAGTGAAAGCTACCAGTATTTCCCTAATATTTCACAGAAGCAATGTTATTCTAGCTCCCAGAGATAACTGACATTGGGCTTTTATGGTTATAGGAAAAGAATGGTGAAATGATGCCTACAAAACAACTCATGGAAAAAGCACCATCCCACATCTGAAGTGTCTTGACTTTGTACTCCTAAAGACTTTTATTTCATATTAATTGCAAACCGGAGCTTCCATTTGGTAATCCAAAGCATAAGTAAGCTCTTTTCCAAATGATGTTGTTATTTTTACAGTCCACCAGTTAAAAGCCAAATACCATATTCCAAGCTTCTAGGTCACCAAGAGAACAAGATGAGATGAATTTGGTAGAAAGGATTAGGGTTAGGTTTGGGATCATTTTTAGCTAACGTTCCACTCGTAAGGGTCCATAATCTGAATCCTTTTTAATTTGAGCACATTGGGGAATAGCTGAATGTTCATGCTGAGGTATAATTTGGGCTACATTTGTGTGTGTGTGTGTGTGTGTGTGTGTGTGTGTGTGTGTGTGTGTTTACTTCATCTAGTGTAAGGCAGAGGGACAGTCACTCCTGCCTCTTTAGATCCCCGACTCCCAAAATAGGACCCTGTTATATGGTGACCATGCCTTTGAGATTTAGTGCTGGGACTGTGACTTTAAGCAAGGCTATATGATCTGCCTCAGAATAACAAGTAAGTTAGTGGAGACACTGGCTTGGGACCTATATTTGGGTCCTTCTGAGAAATAGAACCAGTAGGATGTATAGAGATGCGTAAGAGGAGATTTATTATGGGAATTGGTTCTGGTGATTATGGAGGCTGAGATCTGCTGTCTGTAAGACAGAGGACCAATGTAATTCAGTCTCAGGGGAGAATGGTGTAAGTCCCAGAGTCTGAAGGCCAGAGAACCAGCAGCTCCCATGTCAGAGGGCAGGAGAAGATGGATGTCCCAGCTCAAGGAGACAAGGCATTTGCCTTTCTTCCACATTTTTGTCCTATCTGGGCCCTCAATCAATTGGGTGATGTCCACCCACACTGGAGAGGGCATATTTCTCTACTCAGTCTACCAATTCAAATACTAATCTCTTCCAGAAACATCCCCATAGACACACCCCAAAATAATATTTTACTATCTATCTGGGCGTCCCTCTTCCCAGTCAAGTTGGCACATAAAGTTAACCATCACAGGACTTTAAGAATACACTGCAGTTTTGTCCATGAAGTTGTGAATGTAGAAAACACTGAAGTTTCTTTCATATGTGTTTCAGCTGGCATAATGTGATGTATAAAATGAATTCTTCCCTACTCCTCCCAATCTGTCCTTTATGTCTCCCTCCTCATCTTTCGTTGTCTTTCTTTGGCTTTACATAGGTGTTGGGAGTCCCCACAGAGGATACCTGGCCTGGAGTTTCCAAACTACCTAACTACAATCCAGGTAATACCAATTTGAGCTTCTGAGTGCTCTGAAAATTAACAATGTGGGAAGCATTTGCTACACAGACACGGTGCCCTTCTTTTATTGTTAACTCAACAGTAAAGATAGGTAGATGAATTTTTAGATTCATATATTCCCTGCTAATCCTTTTATAAGAAGGACACTGAAATAGTAGTTAAGGTTAGATCAGTTCTCCAACTCTGTACAACATCAGTAGCAAGCTGCATAATAATTTGGAATAACTATCACTGTGGATTCCGCCTTGATTTCCAGATATCCATTGACTCAAAAGAACTCAAAAGATGGTCTCATTTTTGAGTCCCATGACTCTTACTGACTTTATTTGCTAGGTTATTGTACCTCATAAACTCTAAAAAGAAAGCTGATACAACAGAGGGGAAGTCAAGCCTCATTAAACCTAGGACAGGACAGGTAAGATGTCTCTAGATTACTGAAGAGTTCATCCATTGTTTTGGACCTAACACTTGGTCATTCTCATCACCCATTTGATCCTCCAAGACTGGATCCTGGGAATGGACTTGGAAGTGTTAGAAGTGTTGGCCATGGGGAAAGTCTTTGAGGAACGGTCCCAAGGCCATGTCAAAGAGACCAGATTACCCAGTAGTGACTTCAAGGATGTTGAGACAGAAGGAAAGAGATAAGCAGTGAGCTGTAGGATGAAGGACTATATGAGAGGCTGAGGAGGCAAGTGACGACCACACCAAAGATGGAGTCTTGCTGCAGGTTTAAAGGGGAGGTAGATGTGTACAGATAAGGACCAGATTGGGGTGATTATCACTCAAGTCAGATTTTCCAGCCTTTATATTCTCATACTGACCCATCACTAAATATGGACTTTCCCCAAACTGTTGTTATTACTAACTTCGGTATGAGATTATCCTAGAAGGGTCTCATGAGAGCAAGAAGTTATAGGGAGATTAAAAAGGCAGTTAAAGAGGATAACAAAAGCGATAAGAGGCCAAGGATTTTTTTTTTTCTTCTTTCCTCCAGCATGAAATACTTTTGACCTTGGCTCAAAGAGCTATACATTGAACTCACCAGGATTATGAAAACCCTACAGCAAGCTTAGGTCTTTTCAGCTGCCTTATGAATGTTCATACACATTGCTAAAGGGCCTCGGGGTCATTTACAAATAGTTTACCATTTCTAACTATTTTGTTTGACTGTAGCCCCTGAGAAAAATGCCACTCTGGCCACAAGGCTTGGAATAGTGTCTTTGCCTTTTGGTCTGAAGCAGAAAAAAGAATAGACTTCTTGCGGAGACCATGGTCTATCTGTAATAGTTCTATCTCCAGTTGCCATGGTCTCTAAGAGAACCTGGTTCTATTCTCCCACCCTGCCTGTCTATACCTCTCCCTACCCACCTTCCTCTCCAGGTGAAAATGGATCCCCTCAGCTTCCTACCAGGATGCAAGCGGAAGTTTAGGGTCACAGATGGGTTGGAAAAAAACAGTTTAGATGTTGTCAATACAAATCTGCCTTGGGGAGCATGTGCTTTTCCTCCAGACTGCAAACGTTTAGGTTTCAGGTCGGTTCAGGCAAATAAGCAGTGATCCTTAACAGAGAATGCCTTGGTGAGAACAATGATGATAGAAACTTGTTCAAAACACTTCCCTGCCAGATTCTGTGCTAAATAAGATAACTGGGTCCCAATAAAACAGCGAGAAATATGTTGCATTTTTCATTTTGCTGTCATTTCAAAGTAATGTGCAATTTTTTATTTATGAAGAGAATTCTCCAGGCCCAACATCAATAGGGTTCCTACTTTGCATTGTTTTTCTAGTAGGGATTCAATTTAATTCAAATAAGTCCAAAAAATTTGAACACCTACTATCTGCCAGGTGCTATATTACATGCTGGGTCTGCGCAGACGGATCTGGTACGTTCTTGGAGCTCTGAGACTTGGGTTTGTACACATTCATCCACACTCTTTCACCAGCTCTCCTAACTGGGGGCAGAGGGGTGATCATTCATGAATCTCACTTCCATGGGTTTGGGGCCAAGCTAAGCATATGAAAGAAAGGGAGTTGTAACCCTTCCTGAACTGCAATGAAGATGTCTAACTCTGTATATGTAAATCTTAAAATTCCAGCATATCTTCAGCATAGGGTCAGTACCACTGATAAGTCCATCATAAGGACTATGTTTTAAAAAGGGCCGTCATCTGTGTTCTGGGACCATCCCCTTATGTCATTCGCAAAGTCCCTTTGAGCGACTCCCCTCTCACCCCCATCACTGAGCTACCACTGCTGCTTCCACACACTTAAATATCAGGGGTTAAGAGAAAAGAAGAGGGGATGGGAGCCAGAAAAATATCACAGAGGAGAACAGTTAACACCATGCTAGATGAGACTTCCATTCCTTTCCTTTTCATTCTGTAGCAGTGAGAATTCCCAAACTTCGAATTGAGCCATATTCTAATTTGAGGGAGCCAAGAGCTCAAAACTTGGGAAAAACATCCAATGTCCATCTAGGCCTATTCTACCCTTTCCCAGACCTTGTCTGTACTATGTCTAGGAGGGGAACACAGTTTCTGTTTGTACAGGCTTAAAAAAAAACACCTGGTGCTGACCCACCTGGACAGGTTCCTCTGGCCAATTACCCGTTTTCTTGGGGCACTGAGGAGCAGGGTTGTGGTTTTTCTGGCCATCAATTCAAATTCTTATGCCTGATTAAATCTGGGAAAGAGAAAAGAGGTATATAATTTTGGACACTAGACTATTTTCTTTCTTTCTTTCTTTCTTTCTTTCTTTCTTTCTTTCTTTCTTTCCTTCCTTCCTTCCCTCCTTCCTCCCTCCCCCCCCCATTTTAAGCAAGCTGCCTGAGAACTCTGTGTCCTCTACTTCAAAGGGCCAGTTGTCTTATTTTGATGTGGGCAGATTGAGAAGTAGGCTTTGAAAAGTAGGCTTTTTTTTGTTTAATCTTTTCTCCTGGGATAGCTTTCAGAGCAATATATCCAAGTGTCAGTAAGGGGGTTCTGACGAGCACAGATTCCCAGACTCTCAGCAGGATCATTCTCTAACAGAAATATAAAAGTGAAATATTAAAAACCCTGGAACGTGAACTCCATCTGCATGGTAGCCAGTGGCTTGCCTGCTCGCACCATGGGAAAAAAAGATCTTGAAAAAAGAGGGAGGAGAAAAAAAATGCTTTGAGTACGAGGTTTACAGGTTTAGTAGAGCATAGTAACATCCCCTCAAAGAAGTGGGTGTTGTTCTGTGACCCCCCAAAATGCTCTGCCTTTGACTCAGCTGCCAGAACACTCACCCTCCCCCCCCCACAAAACACCCCCTTTTCACATGCTAACTGAGGCGCCTGTGATTGGCTGAACAATAAACTGGTCACACTTGCTAAAGGCCTGCCATCTTTCGCACAATTAGCCAAGACACATTAATCAAACTGGAGGTGAACAGGGGCTGCACTGGCCTCCAGCCGGGGGAGGGGTGGCGGCGAGCGTTTGGTGATCCTTAATAGGAGTCCATAGGAAGCAATAATAAACAGCAACATTGCTGGAGGGGATTCTACTACCAGAAAGTCTGGAAAGGGTAAAGTCCCAGTTGATGCCCATAGGGGATGTACTAGGTTTATGGCAGAGAGGTTCCCAGAAGCTTAAAGCAAACTGGATATTGGTCTTGGCTAAAATCTGCTCACAAAAGACACTAGTGTGAATTTAAAGGGTGAACCCATATAGACATTCTACAAGTTCCCCGGCCCTCTTAGCTTTCTCTCCCCGCCACCCGCACCCCGCAAAATGCACTCAGGAGCCCCTCCCCTTTTGAGCCTCAAGCACTTTGAATCCCACTAAAACCAACAGGAATAACACATATATAAGAAATGGAGAACCATTTAGAATCCATTAAGAGAAAGTATTAATCCTCATGGGATTGGACCTAACCTAAGTATTTGGAGGACATAGACATCAGTTCATTTGGAAAGAAGAAAAAAAAAGATAAGCTAACCTTTGTACTTTCAGTGGTAGAATCTTCCTTCTTTTCTTTTCCAAATTCTCTTTAAATAGATTTTCCAATGGCAATATAGAGCTAATAAGATCATACCTTAGAGACTAGTTTGCTACAGAATCATGTAAGGCTTTTCGGAGAAACAGCTAAATATTTAGACATTTCTCGGTGCAAGTAAACAGAGCCCTTATTCCTCTGGAGGTTGTCCAGTCACCATCTCATTAGATGCAAAGATTCTGTGGATAAAGAACTTTTTTTTTTTTTTGGGTGCCCACATGATTGCAGCCCAGTTGTGGTTTTTAACGTGTCATTGGTTGTTTCATCCAACTCCTTCTGCTCCAATGAAAGGGTCTGCCGTGGCTGTTTGCTTCCTTAAACACGGATTTTGAAAGCGCTCATGCTGTGTGAGCTCCAATCCTAGCATTAATGGACTGCTGGGTTCATTTCACTACGCTCAAAAGCACGGAGTTTAAATCCCTCTCAATTCCATTTGAGGCACCAGAAGACTTTATCCTTCTCCACTAATGGTTCCAAGTTTACATCTAGATACTGGGGGTCAAGGACAGGAGAGGATTTAGAAATAACAGTGCATGACACTAGTCAATGCATTTGCCAAATTGGCAATTAGGTCCTGATGTGCGAGCAAAGCATTTCGTTCCTGTCTCTTTGATTCTCGTTCCCATTAAGAAGGGAACAGAGTCCGTAGAGGCCTTCAAACTTTTAAAGAAATATCTGCTGAAAATCATGCCTGATTTGTGACGTGAGCTCAGCGGCAGGGAAACATCTGGGATTATTCTGGATCTTTCAGCCCCGGGAAAGAACCAGGCACATGGAAAGATTCTCCACTGGAGGAACTTAGTGGAAATCAAAAGGCGGAAAAGCAGCACTAAAAGCTCTGTGGGCACCGAGAATCAGATGTACTAGAAACCAGAGGCGAAGGGCTCCTGGGGCCGCCCAGTCATCTTGAGGACGCCTGCTTTTTCAACCTCTGACCACCAGGTGGAAGCAAAAAATAAGAGG